TGACTGTCACAAAATCATCTCATCACTGGAGAATGAGGACTGCTAATTTATTTATTCTGAGTACCATTATGCCACTCAGGAATCTGCTGCACTGATAAGCTACTTATCAGTCTCATGAGTGCTATTATATAAAATGTAGGTCAAAACTGCAGTGGTCAAAGCCGTTTGCATTTCATTATTTGTTGGCATGACAACTAACAGAGATGACACATGGGGTCACAGAGGAGAGGCAAGGTCTTTATAAACGAGGTTGTTGAGTGGTGACATCCTTTACTGAAGCATCCTTCTCATACTGTACGAAATATGAGTTTTAGTTTTAAATGGAGAGAAACATTGCGTGTGCTTGGTAATGACGCAGTGAGCAAATAGTTTTTCTTCGGTTTTAACTGTCATATTCATCACCTGTGGTACGTGTGCTTTTCCTGTCTGTGTTATAATCTCAAACTGTCTTATTTCTATTGTACGATTCCATTTAGTTGCTTAGCAACAATGGACTGCCAGAGGAAAGTCTGATGATAGGAACTACTGCTTCTTTTTAAAAAGGACATTTAATATTTAAATGAAATATATAATATTGACATTCTAAGTCAAATAACTTATGTTTATGACACTGAAAAACATTTAGCTAAATAAAAATACATTTAAAGCTTTAAATCTGTTGCAGCTATTGAAATCTATTGCAGTCCACAAAAACTATGCTAAGCACCAAAACTAAAGCTTCCTCAGAATCATTTAATTATAACTTTACTGCAGCATATGATATATTTTACATAAAATGAAAGGAAAAAGGAAGAAATACTTGTCTTAGGAGGAGTGAAATGCACATACATTTTCTGAAGATTTTGTTTTGGTAAAAAAAAAAAAAACTACAGCTTATGTTTATTTCACTGCTAAGCTGCTAACATCCACTCCAACCAAAATTAGTGTCCAACATGCATAACAATCCATTTCTCTAAAAACAGTGTCCTCAACAAACCCTGATTTGTGATCTCAGTACCACTATAAACTACTGCCTGCCTCATTACCATTGGCTGGCATTCATTACCAGCCCAGAGTAAACACATAGTTCATCTGCTGTTAAGAGTGTTATTCAAGCCAGTATGATGTTCCTTCATGGAACACGAAAGAAGGCATCTTGAATAATATTATGCAGTTAAAATGACTGGGGACTGGGACTTTCAAGCTTCAAAAAGAACACATGGGTAAAGAAGAATCGTCCCCCTTTAAAATAATCAAATTTTGTTGCTTTGCAGCCTGAAATGAAGATGGACACAGTTTTGTTTTATCCAGCTGTATTTACTCAGTGCAACTTATAACATCAAAGTAAAAGATATAACACCAACATGTCTGAAAGAAATAATAATAATAAAAAAAAGCAATCACGGAGTTGGAAAAAGGACATATCGTTTGGTGTTGAGACCAAGTAATTCAATTTTAGTCTCATCTGCCTCAGAATCTTAAGGTGCGTTTAGTCTGACTGTATGTGGCCTTTCTTGAGGAGTGGCTTTTTTCTTGCAACCCTCCCATACAAGCCACATTTGTGGAGAATTTGTGATATTGTTGTCACAGGCACACAATGTGCATGTGACTTTGTCATAAACTCCTGCAGCTGCTTCAGAGTTGCTGTAGCTCTCCGTCGCCTCTCTGAGCAGTTTCCTCCGGCTCTTTCCTCCAGTTTGGAGCGATGTCCTGATTCAGGAAGGGTCTGTGTTGTACCAAATACCTTCCACCTCTTAATAATAGACTTCACTGTGCTTCTAAGCATTGATAAATCTTTAGCATTTTTTTTATATCCACCTCCTGACTTGTGCATGTCCACAACTTTATCCTGGATATCTTTTGACAGTGTCTTGCCACCCATAGTTGATTGTTTGCTTCAGATGCACTAAAGACTGAAATGCTCCAGGAAAACTATTTTCATGCTAAACTGATCAAAATTAGCACAGCTGATCACAGTTGAAAATCAAATGACTTTGTGTGCCATTGAGAAGGTGATTCGCTACACCTGATTAGGTTTACAAGTCATTTTTAGGAAGGGGGTGATCCTTTATCCAATTCATTGATTCTGTTTTTTTTCTCTCTGACATGTTGGTGTTATATTCTTTAAGTTGGATGTTATAAGGTGCACTGAGTAAATACAGCTAGATAAAACAAAAACTGTCCGTCTTCATTTCAGGCTGCAAAGCAACAAAATGTGATTAATGTGGGGGCTGATTCTTTTCTATACCCACTGTAAGCACCATTAAAGTATCACCAAAATAAACCTAGCAGAAAAGATCTAGCTCAAATAAACTTAGTCTTGAGTTCAACTGACTGCTCTACTCGCAAAGGTTTTTCAAAGTTGTAAATAAAACAAATATAATTGGAGTATGTTTTACAAGAAAATACTTCTTCAGTTTTCTACATCAAAATGTTATGTTTAATTCAATGTGTCAGTTGTCATTACTTTTTGTAATATATTTGCAATTTCTGCATTTTTTATTAGATTTTTTTCAGCAGTGGGATTTGGAACTTTTGAATTTAGAATCACACGATGTTGTGTAAATGATGAGATTTTACTTTGGTGTGAGCCATTTGTTGAAAGCAATTCACCATGTGCTCTGTTTTCTGGAGTTTTCTCCCCATGCATTCCCACACTGAAACAGCAGATCAGTGTCTTCCTGAAGCGCTTTATATCCCCACAAGACATGAGAATGTATGTGCGGATGTTTTGTGTGATGTGTTTATGTGTGTCCCCCCCCCCCACACACACACTCATGTTGGTTTTTATGGTTTATGAGGACTCTCCATAGACGTAATGGTTTTTATACTGTTCAAACCGTATATTCTATTGCCCTACACCAACCCTACCCCTAAACCTACCCCTCTCAGGAAACTTTGTGCATTTTTAGATTTTCAAAAAAACTCATTCTGAATGATTTATAAGCCTTTTAAATTATGGGGACACTCAAAATGTCCTCATAAATCACCTTCTCGTTGTAATACCTATGTCATACCCATGTTATTATACAAATTTGTGTCCTCATAAACCACATAAACATGCACACACACACACACACACACACACACACACACACACACATCAAATCACATGAAGCGGGTGCTTTATGATTCTTTAGAAGTACTCATCAGTAACACTCTGAGCTGGCTTATCCGTAAAATTTCTAAAAGATGGAACATTGCATATTATATGGCCCTCTAGATTACTTAATTCTTATTGGTCAGCTGTGGCATTCTGTGGACAAATATTTTTAATAAACACTAAAACCTAATTGACTGTTGACACAGGCAAATGATTTCTATGGTTTCATATCTCTTGCATCATGCCACAATCTCTTTCATCTCACATGATAAGTAAATTAAACTTCAATATTTCATGTCCATTTATTAATTTATATGATGAGTAGCTGCATAGTAAATGACCTGATCACCCTGTCGGGTTTATTTTGTGTGGTTATGACTGGCGAATTCTACATTATCCCTTACATAATATGTTGGTTAGTGAGCGAGAGAGAGAGAGTGAGCGAGGCAGGAGTGAGTGAATGAATGTTTCTCTCCTCACTCTCTGTGCTCTCGTCTGCTGTGGTTATTATGGACATGCAGTCTTCATATCAGCAGGTAATAAAAATCTCTTCCTCTGTGTTGATTAAGATTATATTTGAGCTCCTGCTGAATGTTTTACTGTGTGGATACTGGCTTTTTTCAGTCTGCATTCTGTGTTGTGTTGATCAGTAGTCAAATTCTTTTCATTAGCAGTTATACAAATATATTAAAAGGAGTCCACTTGCATTTTAACAAGTCTGCTTGCCATATTAGCCGTAATTGCCTACATTTAGTAGAAGGTGATTACCAAAAACACAGCGAATGTAAACAATTTTGCTTAAACACATGCAACCTTTTTTAATTAATTAATTAATTAATTAATTAATCTTTTTTTTTTTACTGGAAATAAGGCAAAAATATAAATGTTGTGTTGTTTTTGCTAGTACCAGTTCTCATCTCTAAATTATTGTTGAGATTTTGCCAACCGAATGTATTTGCTGGTTCTGGAGCTCAGATGGACAGGAAGTTCGAAGGAGTGAGGTGTCAATTTGATGGTGTGATGAAAGTACACAAAATGAAAATGTACTCATACTGGATGCTAGCAAGGTGCACACACACACACACACACACACACACACACACACACACACACACACACCCCCACACACACACTCATGTTGGTTTTTATGGTTTATGAGGACTCTCCATAGACGTAATGGTTTTTATACTGTTCAAACCGTATATTCTATTGCCCTACACCAACCCTACCCCTAAACCTACCCCTCTCAGGAAACTTTGTGCATTTTTAGATTTTCAAAAAAACTCATTCTGAATGATTTATAAGCCTTTTAAATTATGGGGACACTCAAAATGTCCTCATAAATCACCTTCTCGTTGTAATACCTATGTCATACCCATGTTATTATACAAATTTGTGTCCTCATAAACCACATAAACATGCACACACACACACACACACACACACACACACACACACACATCAAATCACATGAAGCGGGTGCTTTATGATTCTTTAGAAGTACTCATCAGTAACACTCTGAGCTGGCTTATCCGTAAAATTTCTAAAAGATGGAACATTGCATATTATATGGCCCTCTAGATTACTTAATTCTTATTGGTCAGCTGTGGCATTCTGTGGACAAATATTTTTAATAAACACTAAAACCTAATTGACTGTTGACACAGGCAAATGATTTCTATGGTTTCATATCTCTTGCATCATGCCACAATCTCTTTCATCTCACATGATAAGTAAATTAAACTTCAATATTTCATGTCCATTTATTAATTTATATGATGAGTAGCTGCATAGTAAATGACCTGATCACCCTGTCGGGTTTATTTTGTGTGGTTATGACTGGCGAATTCTACATTATCCCTTACATAATATGTTGGTTAGTGAGCGAGAGAGAGAGAGTGAGCGAGGCAGGAGTGAGTGAATGAATGTTTCTCTCCTCACTCTCTGTGCTCTCGTCTGCTGTGGTTATTATGGACATGCAGTCTTCATATCAGCAGGTAATAAAAATCTCTTCCTCTGTGTTGATTAAGATTATATTTGAGCTCCTGCTGAATGTTTTACTGTGTGGATACTGGCTTTTTTCAGTCTGCATTCTGTGTTGTGTTGATCAGTAGTCAAATTCTTTTCATTAGCAGTTATACAAATATATTAAAAGGAGTCCACTTGCATTTTAACAAGTCTGCTTGCCATATTAGCCGTAATTGCCTACATTTAGTAGAAGGTGATTACCAAAAACACAGCGAATGTAAACAATTTTGCTTAAACACATGCAACCTTTTTTAATTAATTAATTAATTAATTAATTAATCTTTTTTTTTTTACTGGAAATAAGGCAAAAATATAAATGTTGTGTTGTTTTTGCTAGTACCAGTTCTCATCTCTAAATTATTGTTGAGATTTTGCCAACCGAATGTATTTGCTGGTTCTGGAGCTCAGATGGACAGGAAGTTCGAAGGAGTGAGGTGTCAATTTGATGGTGTGATGAAAGTACACAAAATGAAAATGTACTCATACTGGATGCTAGCAAGGTTTGGACATTAATATTCATAACAGACCTAATCAATTAAGTGAAGTAATGCAACAAAAAGAGCATTGTAAGAGCACATGACAAAGTCAAAAATTAAAAGTGTATATTCATAGTTCACCATTAATGTGTTGATTTGTAACAGAGCAGAATCTTTGGTGAACATACAGAGGGCTTCACAAATAAACCCTGTTTGTGATTAGGGGTCTTTGAAACAGTTGCTGCATATATTCTCTTTTCTATTAATTAATGTGTTTTCTTTGATCCTCCTCCACACTGTCTCATTTCACCCCTTCACTCCATTTTCAAAGCGTTCTCTCTTTCGCCCACACAGCACATTGTTGAACCTGCCAATTCGCAGCACCCACACACACTCTCGCCCACTAACACCCAGCCACACTAATGCAGTGGTGCCCTGAGCCCACACACACACATTAACACCAAACTGCAATAACGCACAAGAGCAAAGATGCCTTGAGCACCGATGAGCACCGATGAGCACCGATGAGCTTTTCCTGAACTTTTTGCACAAGCGCGCATTTAAGTCACATCAAACGAGTGCTGTTGTACCGAATATCAGTGGCTTAGTTACACTACAGCTGTTATAGCTAGGCTGATATTCTGTACAACAGCACTAAAGTGTGAGATGCTGTTCAGTTGTTCCAAGATGGATAAGTTGCCACAATTCTTCCAGTTCATAGGCAGTCTCTTTCTGTGATAGAAGACTGACTTTAATGATGGTGAGATCAGATCTGTATGTGGGCCATACCTACTGTCATGGGACTCTTACAAAAACTCACTGCACTATTGCAATATTTACAAAAGAAATGTATAGAAACCTAAAATTGCTTACACACTAAGAATAACCATAATAAAACAAAGGTTTCTGACAACAAATCTCACCAACATCTAATGTTGAGTTGTAACAATATACACTACAATTCAAAAGGTCAAAAATGTGGGTAAAAAGAAAGAAATGAATGCTTTTATTCAGCAAGGATGTGTTAAATTAATAAAAAGTGTTACGGGTTCCAAAAAAAATAAAATAATTAACCAGCACAACTGTTTCCAACATTGATAATAAATCAGCATATTAGAATGATTTCTGAATGATCATGTGGCACTGAAGACTCCAGCAATGGCTGATGAAAATTCAGATTTCATCAGAGAAATAAATTATAATAATTTTTCACAATATGTTTTTTTTTCTGTATTTTTGATCAAATAAATGCAGCCTAAGAAACTTTGAAAAAAAAAAGACTGATATCTATCTCTCTATAACATATATCTATAATGAGTAATGAGATAAAGAGTTGATCTAGGATGCAGGGCAGATGACTCTGGAGTTGGTTGTGCAGTGACTTACATTGGATCCAGACCTGCTATAGCAGTGGCAGACCAACCTGGGCATCGGAGCAGTGGTGGATCTCGATCCGTCAGACCTTGCTCTGGACCTAGGCCTTGGAATTATGGTGGACCCAGTCCTGAATTGGAGGTGCAGTCGTGAACCCAGACATTGGCCATGGTGCAGTAGCTGACCCGGATCTGGGCCTTGGAGCAGTGGCGGGCACAGACCATAGAATAATTGCAAGGCTGTGGAAGAGCACCCCGAGTCGTGTGAAGCAGAACAGGACCATTATGAGGTGACAGGCCATGGAGCATAGCCATATGAGACAGACATAGAAGCATGCCCTGGTGAGACTCATAGGGGCGCGATTCTCATGTAATGCTCACATTCTGCAGGCTATGAAAGTGATACGGTAAAGTTAGTGTGGAGGTTGTTGTGGAGGCGGTCAGATGCAAATGTCTACCACAGTGTGATGTCAAGCTGTGGAGAAAGAAAGAAAATTAGTTGTTTAGGCAACTTGCTTTCTTTTTCAGCTATGAGGTGGAATTTGTGAGTTCTGAGTTGTGTATTTTTTGTAGTAAAATTAGTTCTTAGTCAAGTCACCTTTATTTATATAGCGTTTTATTCAGTACTGATTCTGTAACTGATTGTTACAGTGCCAAACAGGAAAATAGTTTGTCAATAATGCAAGAGGACAATAACAAAGAGTCATTTTTCCAGCTAAAGTCAGTTCATTGATGATTCAGTGATGTCTCTTCCAACAGTGTCTGTGCAATCAGTCAAGTGTCCCAACTAAGCAAGCCAAAGGCGACAGCGGCAAGGAACCAAACCAAGGAACTTGTTCGTACAATGCAACATAACAAGTCAGGCAAAGTGTTAATTTCCACAAACAAATTTATTGAAATGAATCAGAGAATTTAAATTGATAAAGCTAAGGCAAAAAAAATTTAATAGAAGTGTACTGTGGATCTTTGTGTGGGTCATAACACTGGCCAGAACTGAATTTACACAATTTGAGCAGTTGTTCAGGGGAAAGCAAGAGAGTTGCTGCTATATCATATAAAGCTCATGAAGAGGTGGCTGTAACTAAACCTACAGTTAGCAAGCCTTGCAGCGGAGACCCTGGCAGAGCCATTACTAGGAAATCTGCTTATGTTGACTAAGAAAGAGCAGTTGAAAGAGCTCCTGGCGCATTTCTTTTCAGATGTATTTCTACCTCTTCCCAGAAGAACTAATATCATACAGCATGATGCATAGCTCACCTAGAGCCAGAGGACAGCTGGCCACTGAGGCCGTCCAAAAGATGCTGGAGCTCAGGTTATAGAAGAGTCCTTGAGTCACTGGTTTATCCATAATGTGATGATCACTAAGTTGGAGCATATCTTACGGTTTTATAATGAGAAGTTGAACAAAATCTGTTTCAAAAGCTATACAATCCCCTGTGCACAAAGAATTAGACAACATATTCAGTGACTCCTGAGTGCTTCCCTTTGGCCAATATGCGGCATCTTGCACCTGCAAAAGACTGATGAATGTTGCAGCTTTACCAAACGTATGTGGCTGCTTACCTAGGCAAGGTTAGGCCAGATTCTACTGATTATTTCATTCTTAACTTCTCCTCAATAGCTTGCCTCCTAACGGACGTGAAAAATAAGTAACAGGACGAGAGTGGTGTTGACTGGGCTTCTGAAACAGAGACGGGCCTACATGCCTCGTAATTTCAACAGACTCTTCATCCTTCAGACAGACACATCACAAACTGGACTTGGGGCTGTCCTTTTACAGACAATACGAGGTAAGGAGCATCCTGTGATTTTCATTAGCCATAAACTGTCCTCTGCTGCAATGCGGTAACAAAAGAAAGATGCACTGGCCATTAAGTGGGCTGTCCTGGAGCTAAGACATACCTGTTGGGTAAGTGGGCAGTGACAGCAAATGACAATGCTGATGGCCTGTCCAGGATGTTTTCCTTTTTGTCAGGTCTGGTGAATACCACTGGTACATCTCAGCCCCTTATATTGTCTGTTATCTGTTCCCAGATGTGTAAAGAGTAACTGAAAACTATACTTAACTACTGTAAAAGTAGAAATACCTTACAGTGAAAACGACTCCATTACAAGTTACAAGTCACCAATTCCGATATCACTTGAGTAAAAGTCTTAAACGTATCTGATTTTAATGGTGATTTATTAAGAAGCAGAGTTGGGAGCATTACAAGTAAAGCAAGTTATGTAATCAGATCACTTTTAAAGTTTCAAGTAACTATAAAGTAATGCATTAAATTTAATTTACAAGAAAAGAGTTACTTTTTCAAATTTAGATTTTGTCCCCGTATTGAGAGAAATCAGGAGTGAGTGCAGAAGCGTTGTGTGCGCTGTGTGAACATGATGCTACTGTAGTTCTAGACTAAATATGAACATGCATTTATCATCTCACTTGCACAAAAACAGATTCAGTATTCCTCAAAGTGAATACAAACAGTGAAATGCAAACTCAGAATTTGACGCAAACCTGCAATAGTTAAACTTTAACACAAAAATCCTTCATGTATTTAATCCCATTTTATTAACCAGTGCCTTTGCTGCTAACCTTTGATGATCCAATTCAACCATACCAATAAACTAAAATAAATAAGTAAATATTGCAATCCAGAACAGCATCACAGCTGAAAGGTTTGTTTGAGCTGCGCCCTCTACTGTACAGACGTGAATTTACATTTGATTCAGCCTGAGGCTTATTCATTTCACTTTTGGTGAGAAAGTGCTTTTACATTTGCCAAAAATATATATATATATTTTTTTTTACATTAAAAACAAAAAAGCAAGCCCAGCTCAGATAAAAGGAAAAAGTAACGCAAAAGTAACATAACGCATTACTTTCCATAAAAAATAACTAAGCAACGCAATAGTTACATTTTTAGGGAGTAACGCAATGCAATAATGCATTACTTTTAAAAATTATATATATACATACATTATATATATATATAATGTATGCAGTGGTGTAGTCTAGTTTTTTGTAGTGGGTATACTCTGATATTCCCTCCCAGCCTCATACTCACCGTCCCACAGCGACACCCCATAAGCACCACCACACTCACTTTACAATATGCATCTATGTAACATTCTGAAAGACTGCTTATGTGATATCAACATGTCAATTTATTATAAGCAACAGAGGACTTTAACATCCAATGACATTTACAGCTGGGGAGACTGGACTGATTTCTTAATGTTTAGTGTTAATCATTTAACTCAGCCAGTTACATTTATCTTAAGAATATGGTCCCTGGAGAATAGGTTCTATCAGCTGGCAATTTTCAATGCACATTTAAGAGTGCCTGTTTTTATATTCCCTAGCCTGACTTTCAGTCCACAAGGTTGGTCAGGAGTTCTCATCTCTCTCATCATCTGAAACAAGGAGATATAAACATTGTATTGGGTTTAACTGCTGTAGACACACAGTATGTGTGTTATCTCTCCCCTTCTCTCGCATTCACTGATCCACCACACTAACGTTACTTAAGTTATTAGCTAGTTATGTTGGCTTGAGAAAGCCAACATACTGTTATATTATTTAAACTTATTTTTCTTCTGAGACCAATAATTTTCAGCTGTAGCCTACTGTATATTCTCCTAGGGCTTTAATGCTACAAGCACCAAACTTGTCAGAGACCTTGGACCTAATCTGTAGTTTGTTTCTATATCTTTTCTAACTGATGAGACAAAGTTTTTTATTAATAATTATCAAAAATCAAAGATTTCCCATAGACTACATTGGCTGAGCAAAAATGCCCTCTCTAGAGGACAACTGCAGTCCACTAAAGGGAGTCACAGGATAAGAAATCTTTCAATTCCCCTCATTTACTTTCGTTTTCAGACACTTAAATTTACAAATAATTGCATAATTTTCCTTCATGCCGCCAAGCAAAGCTAACATATTTGATCATGACCAGGTCAGGTAGTGACTATCTGATGTCCAGAGGCCACTGGTGCGTCCTCATGAAACGTAATCATTTGCACGTTTTTTAAGCCTTGCCAATTAAAACATTCAAGTGATTTGTGTCATTGCTGCAGCTTCAGGGGCAGGCTTACGAAAACACTGAAAGAGTGTAGTGGAGTGTAGAGAGAGTGGAGTTTGCTTTATTACGTATCCTCACGCTTTTTTAAGAGGGTATACGGAAATCTTTCACCTTTCCTAGTGGATATACGCCATATACCTGCGTATCATGTAGACTACACCACTGTATGTATGTGTGTGTTTAAGGAAACAAAATATGTGCATCCTCTCCTTTTTTAGTTTGTTAATCTAAATGAGTTGTGACTGCTTTCATCTTGTTGTTGTTCTCTGCTTTGGTGCTCAAAGGGTTATTGATGTGCTGCTGTGGGTTACTGTGAACATGAGGAGCTGCTTCAAAGAATCATGGAGGGGTGGCACGGATTATTCATGGATGCCTACACCACTTCACAAACACAAAACATCAACATTAGACACACATTTCCCCCCGGATTTTTAGACTTAAAAAAGCATTTGCTTGAGTTCATGAAACTTCATGATTTTCCAGTTGAGGAGGCTTTGTCAGATTTAGCTACCTTTTGTAGACTGTTTTGTCCCCAAACCATAACCAGGCATGTACTCACACGCACCTGTTTTGCTAAAGTAATATTAAGGTCTGGAGCGGAGTAAAAAGATAGATCTGCTCTCTCATAAACTTAAGCCAATTTCACACAGGCAGAGAAAATAGCTTTGCTTTGCAAAATTGCTTCCCTTTTATTAAATCAAACATTTAAAAAAAATGAAAACTGTACTAAATGAAGCTGGATTTTTTTGTATAAATATAGAATACTGTGATGAGTTAAAACTAGAAAACTGCAAGCTAGAATAGAGAAAAGAAAATGCTTACACATGTGTATCATGGAAAAGTCACTCTTCAGAGCGAACACTGCGCTTTCTTTGATGTATCACTTAATTTCCTAGTCACAACCAGACTCTATCAAACTTTAATGAAAACATCCTCATCCCAGCGACAGATTATTCCCTTTATGGATGAGAATATTCCCACACTGACGTCAGAACTATAGAGATGTTTGACTGATCTTTATTACACCCATTACAGCTCAGTATGCTGAAATGAAGTGAGCAGAAAGTGCTGTTTAATAATTGAAAGATTTTAATTCTGTTAATGATTTTAATTCATTTAAATGTCACAATATACAGAATGAATTAGAGGGTTAGGCATAATTCAGAATGATAAAAACTCCAAACATGAGTTGGAATCCGAAATGCATTGAGCAATGCATTCATAAACTAGTGTATTTTGTTCTAACAATAATAGGAATTACTTTTTTTCTTTAGATTTTTTAAACGTACAAAAGATCCAATGACAAAGGTAAAAAGAGAGATGCAAAAAGAACGAATCAGGGATTTGAATGAATGAATGATGCATTTATATAGCACTTTATTGTGTATTGCTGTACACCCAAAGCGCTTTGCAATCATGAGGGGGTGGGGATTATAAGGAGGCCATGATAGACAAGAGCTAAAGGCAGCAATTTGGCCAGGACACCAGGGATACACCCCTAATCTTTACAAGAAGTGCCATGGGATTTTTAATGACCACAGAGAGTCAGGACCTCGGTTTAATGTCTCATCCGAAGGACAGTGACTCCACTGTTTCTTCCATCAAGGCAGCTGGGAGGGGAGAAATGGGAGAGCGGGAGGGGTGGGGCCACCTTTCATTGAAAAAGGCGTTTCACAAGCGAAGCAGGGCAAGACTCATACTCTCACAGCGAGCACAGCATTAGCGTGGGTGTGGCCCAGGCAAGCAGCGCACTCACTGTGCCTGTCTGAAGCCACATAAGCGGCACAGCATTTACAACAACGCCGAGGAAATTTGCTCCAGAAAATTGGCTCTTTGTGATCACCGGATAGCCGCAGGGGAGAAGGCACTGAAGAGGTGCATCTTCCCACTGCCGGGGCTCTTCCACGGCGAGTAGCAGGCTTCGAGCTTCTTGCTTCAGAGTTCAGCGAGGATATGATCTTCGTGCTGAAGGAGAAAAATTCTGATGAAATGGTACTCAGAGCTGACTTATATAGCTGTTCAACCCCGTTTTGGCAGGTTGAAGTGCCATTGGTTCGTGCAGCTACACGAATGTGATCAAATCAGGCTTCAGTATTCAGAGTAAACAGGAGTTTCCCCATAAGCATCATTGACGCAATGGGAGAGGGTGTTCGAAAGGGAAGCAAACGTCCATGTTCCAAGAATTCATTGGCGTTTTGCATGATCCTCTTCTCCACAAGATGGAGCCATTCATCAGATTAGGCTTATGATCAGAATCAGAATCAGAATCAGAATACATACATATATAACAGGAGAATAGAAGAACATTTAAATAAGACTAAGTAAAATAATAATAATAATAACAATGTGGAATACATCTGGGACAGAATATTTAACAACAGGTTTGTGCATTGTGTACAATATATACAGCTGTATAAACAAATATGTACAGTATGTATTTACATGACATCTAATTATTGCCTCTCTCTCAAGTACTGAGAATGAATTATAAAAGCAGGTGGTAATTTCTGTGTTAGCTGTTTCAGTTGGAGATGGCATGGGGGAAAAAAATGTTTTTATGCCTAGAAAATGTTCTAGTGCACAGAGATCTGTAACGTCTGCCTGAGGGGAGAAGTGCTTACAGGTTGTGGCCAGGGTGAGAGGGGTCTGTGATGATGTTACCTGCCCGTTTCTTCACTCTGCAGTTGTACAAGTCCTGAAGGTTGGGCAGGTGCACACCAATTATCCTTTCAGCTGTCCTGATAGTCCGTTGCAGTTTCCTTATATCTGATTTGCTGGCTGAACCAAACCATGCCGTTATAGAAGTGCACTAGACCGACTCAATAACAGCTGAGTAAAACTGTGTCATCTGTGCCTGTGGAAGGTTGAGCTTTTTCAGTTGACGAAGAAAGTACAACCTCTGCTGGGCCTTTTTCACAGTGGAGCCTGATTTGCTGGCTGAACCAAACCATGCCGTTATAGAAGTGCACTAGACCGACTCAATAACAGCTGAGTAAAACTGTGTCATCTGTGCCTGTGGAAGGTTGAGCTTTTTCAGTTGACGAAGAAAGTACAACCTCTGCTGGGCCTTTTTCACAGTGGAGCCAATGTGATTGTCCCACTTCAGGTCCTGAGAGATGGTGGTGCCCAGGAACCTGAATGGCTCCACTGCTGCCACGGTGCTGTTTATGATGGTGAGAGGGGGGAGTGCAGGGGGTTTCTCCTAAAGTCCACAGTCATCTCCACAGTTTTGAGCGTGTTCAGCTTCAGGTTTTTGTTACTGCACCAGACAGCCAGCTGTCCTGGATGAGACCGATGACTGGTGTCATCTGCAAACTTCAGGAGTTTGACAGAGGGGTCTTTAGAGTTGCAGTCATTTGTGTATAGGGAGAAGAGCAGTGGGGAGAGAACGCAGCCCTGAGGAGCTCCGGTGCTGATGGTGCGGGTGTTGGATGTGAGTTTTCCTAGCTTCACTAGCTGCTGCTGCCTGTCTGTCAGGAAGCTGGTGATCTACTAACAGATGGAGGTGGGTACAGAGAGCGGTGTCAGTTTATTCTGAAGGGTGTCTGGGATGATGGTGTTTAAAAGGAGCTGAAGTCCACAAACAGGATCCTTGCATAAGTCCCTGGTTTGTCTAGATTTTGCAGGATATAGTGCAGTCCCTTGTTGACTGCGTCATCCACAGACCTGTTTGCTCGATAAGCAAACTGAAGAGAGTTGAGGTAGACCGGCACCAGTTTCTCAAATGACTTCAAGACCACAGACGTCAAAGCAACAGTTCTGTAGTCATTTGGTGCTGTGTTATGCTAAAGCAGCAATACAAATTTCCTACTCAATATAAGAAGTCTAAAACAAACCTTTTAAGCCAAAAGAGTTACATCAGCTGTAATACATACATTTAAAAAAAAAAATGTCTGTCAGGAAGCTGGTGATCTACTAACAGATGGAGGTGGGTACAGAGAGCGGTGTCAGTTTATTCTGAAGGGTGTCTGGGATGATGGTGTTTAAAAGGAGCTGAAGTCCACAAACAGGATCCTTGCATAAGTCCCTGGTTTGTCTAGATTTTGCAGGATATAGTGCAGTCCCTTGTTGACTGCGTCATCCACAGACCTGTTTGCTCGATAAGCAAACTGAAGAGAGTTGAGGTAGACCGGCACCAGTTTCTCAAATGACTTCAAGACCACAGATGTCAAAGCAACAGTTCTGTAGTCATTTGGTGCTGTGTTATGCTAAAGCAGCAATACAAATTTCCTACTCAATATAAGAAGTCTAAAACAAACCTTTTAAGCCAAAAGAGTTACATCAGCTGTAATACATACATTTAAAAAAATATATAGGTTGTTTTGAGGCACTGTGTTTCATGATTATGTAATTTAATTTATGTAAGTGACTGTTGGCTAATAAGTGACAAGATTTTATGATTAAAATTGAATATTACACACTTTTGCATTCAAGTGAATGCACATTCATTAAATTGTTGTGATTATTTTTTATAAATAAATGTAAGTATTTATTAAACACTGGACTGTTTTTATCATACTGGTGCAAAAATAAAAATGTTAAAATTAATTTACCATTGTACATTAGCCACAATGTAGACAAACAACCCAACATAATTTCTTGAATTAATTTCCAGTTTGGAAGTTTGTAAAACACACATAGAAAGTTGTGACAGATGCACTGATTATTCATTAGTTTAGCTGATCATTCTAATTAAATGTTTCTGTTTTCTACTGCTCAGGTGACAGAGTGATCTGACATAAGGAAAGCATCATGAGCACTGAAAAAGAGCGCAGCGTCCTGAATGATGCCGACGAGGAGAAGGAGGTGAAGGATGAGAAGACTGCTGTGAAGGAGGAGCTGTCTGAGGAGCAGGAGCTGGAGGAGCTAAGGGCTCAGGTGCTGCAGCTCCTGCTTGAGTTGGAAGAAGCTCGAGACACGGCTCAGAAACACGAGGAGAGCTTTCTGGAGCTGCAAAGTGAGACTCCCTGAAAAACATAGCATTTTCACAGCAATGATCCAACAGTTACAAAGTTCATGTCATACCTTTTTTATTTTTCCTGAGGTGCACCTGTTAGTATTTTTTTATGTGTTGAGATGGCGCCCTCTATCTTATCATATGAAACAAACACGTTTTTGTGTCACATGCCAAAAAGTTGCAGAAATACAGAATGAGTTGTTTTTGTGCCTTGGTTTCAATGTTGTTTTTCCACTGGGAAGTTTTGAGTTGTGGAATTTACTAAATGTTTTTATAATACAATTAACGGTTAAATGTCAAACCAGTAACCTATGAATAAATAACTATATATTATAAAATCCATGTATATTTAGTTCATGATATACATTGTATTATAATTATAATTATAATTAATATTATTTGATCTGAAACCTTTCTTAGATGGCAGTGGTGTTAAAATAACTGGAGGAGCTGAAAGGGGAATCTATGTATTAATATATATGTTTGTCCATCTAGTAATTGAACTGAGATTTGCATTAGATAATAGTGACTGCTAAATGACTAACACTTACAGTAACCCTGCACAGTGTCATGAAGAAAGATGTTTCTTTACTGAAAGTTATTTGTCAGAGTTGAATGTGGTCTGTCCTCCATGAGCTGTTTTACTCAATGACAGGCCCAGTAAAATAGTTTCTATATATAGCATTTAGAGCTCTTTAATGAGTCACCTGCTGTATAGCAGACAGACTCCTGGGACTCTGTAATGATCTGGCTGTGCTGTGACTGAGGGCTGTTTGTGTGTAACATGACAGGCATGTGAAAGGACAGCTGCGTGCTGAGGGAAGGTTCCAGACGGGCTGTCCTGAGCAGCTCTAGGGCAGCAGATGCTTTTATCTTAACTGATCATTCCTGGATCTTCTCCAGTGAGGCGCTCTGCTGTTCCTGCTCATTTATGATCGCAGACATAGCATTAGATCAGTCTCACCCGCTTGAGGGGGCACAATTTCATACTTAAGAGTCAAGTATTTGAGTTGTGCACTACGTGACTGAATTATCAGGTCTGAAACAGAAGATATATTATAAAGTCCCAGAACTTAGACACCCAATGAAACAATGCTTGAAATGCAGGGAGGGGTGTACAAAATCAGTTGACATTTAGAGGGGACACAGCCTCACCTTCAGTTGCTAAAGTGATACATTTTACAGTGAGAATTTATTCTGTCTTAAACATTTTCTTATATTTTCCCATGGATAACATACTGTAAATGTTATCCATCCATCCATTTTCCAAACTGCTAGACCTCTGTAGGGTCTCAGGGATGCCGGAGCCCATCCCAGCTTCTTGGGTTGTAGGTGGGATATAAATGTTTTGGAGATTGTTTTAATGCTATTACTCTTTCTTTAATAAAATTACGCTTTGTGTTCAGTTTTGTGATGGAAAACTTGCCAATGTTTACAAGGTTTGTTGCATCAGTTATCTTAAAGATATTTCTGTCATGGCAGTGTTAATGTGTTTGGTCTTGGCAGAATAGATCTGCTATAGAGCAAGTACTGAGACTTGCTACTGCCAATACATCCATGGACATGCTGCTGTGAGCATACATGAAATAACCCCCACTTTTTAAGTGGGAGAACTTGCACAATTGGTGGCTGACTAAATACTTTTTTTCCCCACTGTACATGACATTACTCCGTAGCAGATCTATACAGGTGGAGCTGGGGAAGGTGAAGGGTTCCTGATTTGCGCTGCAACTGCTACAGCAAACAATAGCCAAGTATTTGAATGTTGAGCAGCAAGCTCATTGGCTGCTGATGTGAAAAGAAACCAATCAGCTGCGCTCTGTAGATAACAATGTGATTACTAGCGATTGAGTTAGCTATCAGCTAAGTAGTGTTCCAAGATTGCAGTATAACTATCACTGTATCACTTCATTTGGCAACATGTAAAGAGGGATCCTGATTTAGCTTAATTTGAACTAATTTTCATTGTCAGGGCAAAAATAAATGTACGTTTTTCTCTATCTCTGTCCAGGTCTTCTCGAGGAGGAACGTTTAGCTAGTGCTCATCAGGCAGAGGCCTTCACAAGACAGATCCAGCATCTGCAAGGTAACAAAGACTCTGAACACACAAACCCAAGATGATATATGATTAATGATAAGATTTTCATTGCATTAGATGACAAAATACTGTAACAAAGCATATGTTATTTACTTGTGAGGAGTAAACCATTCTTTTAAAATACTGGGGAAGGAAGTGAACTTGCCACACTTGTCATTCAAAAAGTCATACTTTTTTTTTTTAATGATCTCCCGACCCCTGTAGCACAACTGCGTTCTGTTCAGGAGGAGATGGACCGTCTGGAGGAGGAGAAGGAGAGCGAGCTTCTGGAAGCGCAGGAGGAGCTGCGGGCGGCGCAGGAGGAGGTACTGCTGCTACAGCAGGCGTCGGAGGAGGCCGCGGCTGAAAGAGAGAATGACATCGCCAGTCTGCAGGAGGAGCTCTGCCGCTTACGGGCGGACATCTCTCGACTGGAGAACACGGGACAGGAGTACGAGCTGGAGATCGTCACACTCCGAGCGGAAATAGAGATGAAGAGCCTGAGCCGTCTACAGCAGAGGAAGGAGGGTGAGAACAGAAACACAGCACAAAAAGAGCTCTGAGATGGTCAGGGTACTGCATTTATGAAGATAAGTCATTTTCAATGCAGCAATCAAAATTAAATGTTTAGTTTGACCTCCAAAATCTATAACAGTGCACAGCACATTCACAGTACAGTCATGAATCCAGTCCAAAAATCGGCTACGAATGAGCATTGCAGATTTCAGCTGGAAAAAAAAGAAAAACATAAATTGTTTTTTTCCCCTCCTTTGTAGACCTATTCAATATTCAAAATTATTTACCCATTAAAAAAACTATATAATTATCCCCAGTGGAAAACTAGATATCCCACTTAACCAGTTTGGTAACTTTATTATTTTATTTATTTTAAGGTCCATTTCTCACTAACTATTAACAATGGGTTTTGCCTCAAACTCCTAGTTTGCTGCAGGTTAATAGTTAGTAAGGTAGTTGTTTAGTTTAGGTTTGGGGTAGAGATTAAGGGATCTAAAATACGGTCATGCAGAATAAGGCGTTAAAGGGGTCATATGATGTTGCTAAAAAAAGCACATTATTTTGTGTATTTGGTGTAATGAAATGTTTATGCGGTTTAAGGTTAACAAAACACATTATTTTCCACATACTGTACATTATTGTTTCTCCTCTATGCCCCGCCTTTCTGAAACGTGTCGATTTTTACAAAGCTCATCGTTCTGAAAAGCGAGGTGTGCTCTGATTGGCCAGCTATCCAGCGCGTTGTGATTGGTCGAATACCTCAAGCGTCCAAGTAGATATAACCGCAGACCGGAGACCTCCAAAATGGGGCGTGAACTCCAAAAGTGGGCAGAACCTCCAAAATGGGGTGGGGTCTCCTCACACAAAGACTTTCACCATTGGCTCTGGCTCCAGCCAATTGTTATTGACTTACATTTCAAAATAAAATGTTATAAATTAAACATTGTTTCTAGTTCATCTACAATAAAATATGCTATATAAATAAATATTCTCCGTGAGAGCAGAGCCCAAAGCTTGTGGCCAGTGGTGTTCAAACTGGAGTTTGAACATCTGCTTAATGATATAAACGGGAATCACCCACGAGCCGTCCCAGCGCACTGCAGGGGAAAGATTTTACTCTATCGCTTTGTTCCAAGCAACGGGGGTGTCCCGGGGCTCGAAATTCGCAGGGTAGGAAGGGTAATGATGCTGGGTGTAACTAAAAAGGTGCCATTGTTCGGTTGGGGAGTTACGGAACAGTCTCATATCACATAATCTTATTAACTGTTTATCTCCTGAATTGCAACTTTCTTTACCACGCTATTCAGTGCCAATCCCGCAGTGCAGTCAATTTCAATGGTTAAGGTTAGGGTCAGGTGTGGGGTAGGTTTAGGGGTTAGCATTTTTTGTAGCATAGTGTAGGAAATCAACACTTTAATTGACACCACCAATAAAATCTTTAGAATCAGCTGTGGGGCGGAGTTTGCACTGAAGTGGATTGGGGGAAAAGTGCGCATGCGTGTCATGTGCCTGTCTGTCAATCCCGTTTTGGAGTTCCCGCCCCCATTTGGAGATCTTCAGGCTGCAGTTATACCCTTCTCCAAGTGTGTGATGGAAATGTTACGCCCCTTACCATACTGTGATATCCTGTGTCCCGGCGCGACAAGACAAAAAAAATAAAACCCATTATAAACGAGGCATATGTTGCATCCAGTGGGGACATAATTACTGATTATAATGACTC